CTCGTTTTAAGGTATTTTATTTTGAATTTGCGTTCGTTTATGTATGTCAGTATGTATTTTTATATTTTTCAATTTTATTTATTTTTTTAATATTTACGTTGGGTATTTTTTACTCCCGTATTTTTTTTCTATTAATTTTGCTATAATGAATAAAGAAATTCTGGCATTTCAAAGGAATTTGTTACTGGTCCTATGTGCGCTGTTCCTCAATTAAATTTATCATGTCTTTCTGTTAATTCTGATGATGACAATAAATCATTTACTACGACTGGGCGTGCTGAATCTAATGAGGCTATAAATGAGAAGTACTTAGTAAGACGAAATATTTATTATTTCTGTTTTATCATCCAATGAATTGAAACAAAATGGATATAAAAATATTCATTTGTATTTATCTGCAATCTATTTTTTGATGGTACACATTTATGATGAATAAAATTGTAACGAATCATCTTTTAGTACTTTAAGTTAGTTCACTGTAACAATGGTTCCAGAGAATTACACTGTTTGAATTGTTTCAATTTTCAATAGTATTCGTGAAATTGTCAAATAATGTACATTCGTTTTTATTAATATTTGGTCAGATACAGTGCCTGTTAAGATTATGTGTTGGGATCGATGCTTGACTACGTACCTTCAATTAATTTATCTTCAGAAAATTAACTATGTCAGAACCATATATTAAATACTTATTGAACTATTAATTTAAGAGAATTATTGAAATCTGTGAGTCTAGGTTTCCATACTTTACTTCGTTATTTGTTTGGAATACGTTTCATAATTTTGAAAGTACTGTGAAATGTGAATTGATATGACCAATATACAGGTAGATTATGAGAACTATAAACTTTCCAAAAGTATTATCAATCTTCTTACTATGCTATGAACAAAAAATCTATCATGTTAGGGATCACGGACGGAGATAGAATTTAGAGTGTGCACTACGCTCTATTTGGAATTTATCAACTAAAGCTACCCACATCTACTTTAAAGTTCCTACTGAAACTAGAATTATTGTTCAACGACTAACACAGTAGAATGTTACACATGCTACTAAATCTATTATTTTCGATGATAAAATATGTGGCATAGTTACATTTTGATTGGGAAATTCAGAATGATTACTAGTAAAGCCGAACTGTAATCTCAAACGACTTTGGGATCAGAACTTGTTTAGTCTGTCAGGAGTCAGCAAAGATAAATAAATTACTCACGGCACTAGGACTCGAGATATATAGTTTACGAAAATTGGGTTAGATTTGATGTCATTTTGTGATGTGAATCTCAACCCCCAATCTTAATTTGTATTATAAACAGGAGTTTATAAGCTAATTTTAATGAATAAGCCTTGAAATCAGTTTTTAGGATCATCATCTGTTGGATAGTATTTATCTGTTTTATCAGATTAGTTCGGATGGGAAATTGGTTTTCGATGGAGTTTTGTTCACTAAATTGGATGGTTTGATCGTAGAGCTTTCATCGTTCTTCTAAACGACATCATCAGCACAAACTTCAATTAGAAGTGAAGTGTTAGAATTTCTCCACATGCGGTTCAATGCTGATTAATTCTTGTTGACCTTAAGCCTGTCATTGTCAAACATAGGAACAAAAATCAAACCAATGGGAGATACAACCAAAGAAACGAAGTAAACAATGACAAGTTTAAGGTCAACAAGAATTAATCAACATTGAGGTCTACAAGACAAACTGTGAACCACACGTGGAGCAAATCTAAAACTTCACTTCTACTTGAAGTTTATGCTGATTATGTTCGTTCAGAAGAACGATGAAAGCTCTACGATCAAACCATCCAACTCAGTGAACAAAACTCCATCAAAATCATCCACCTAATCTACAAATCTCCATCATCTCGAAATTTGTTCTCCTCACATATTGATACTAGCTTGAGAAGTAATAAAAACTAAATAACACCAAACGGTACTAGACCATTGAATTTCAACTCATCAATCTCAATATAACAGAACTGTTGGCAAACTTATTATAGATTATACTTTGAATATCATTATGGTTGTGGATCATTGAATAGTTTTATACTAAAACAAAACAGCTGCCCAATGTTAACTAGACTTCTATAGTTCACAATAAACAATTAAAATCAATATAATATTCAAAGTAGTTAGTAATTCTTGTTAAAACTTCTTTTCATTCTCTTTATACTTCAGATTTTTCTTTTTTTTCATAGATGAAATCGACATTCAATGCATGGTATAATGTAATTTATAATATAAAAATTCAATTTACAATGTTACAGGCAAAAAATGAATTTCATTTAAAAAAAACTTATTTTCATTATTGGAAATTAAAAATTCACCAAATTAATTATAATCGTGATATTGAAAAGGCTAAAATAGATTCCATAGAAATAATAAAGTAAGCTCGTTTTGAAAACAATATTATTATTTCAACTGCTCCTCTTCCTCCTCCTCCTCCTCTTCCTCTTCCTCATCCTCATCCTCCTCCTACTCCTACTTATATTCCTGCTCCTACTCCCCCTCCTCCTCCTACTCCTCCTTCTCCTACTCCTACTCCTGCTTATATTCCTGCTCCTACTCCCCCTCCTCCTCCTACTCCTACTTCTACTCTTGCTCCTACTCCTACTACTACTCCTCCTCCTACTACTACTCCTACTCCTACTCCTACTACTACCACTACTCCTACTTCTACTCCTGCTCCTCCTCCCCCTTTTCCTACTACTACTGCTACTGCTACTACTACTTCTACTAACACTACTACTGTCACTACTACTACTACTACTACTACTACTACTACTACTACTACTACTACTACTACTTCTAATAATAATGATAACAACAATAATAATGATAATACTAATGAAAATAATCCGGTGACAAGAAGTTTCTTTTCTTCTATTTCATTTACTGAAGCCATAAAATCATAGTTACAGTTAAGAAAGCTAAATGAAGTGAATTATTTTAAAAAAAGAATGGGATTATCGTATTAATAAACGTGTTCGGATATATTTTGTAATAATTCTGATCACACTGCTGAGATATACACAAGTATTGATATTATATAACATAACATACAAATTAATAGTTCTTAGAGCTAATAACCACAAATGGATCAGTAATAAAGACAGAAAACACAGTGAACTCCTTTGAATGTATTATATTGAGATTATTATTTACAAACATCATACCAGAAGACCTTAAGTCCCAATTTATGGAGTACATAATAAATTTATCACTCAAAATTACCCCTCCAAGTCATTTACATGACCAAGCAAGTCGACTGAATAAAGATAATTACTTTTTAAAAATTGGGAATTTAGTAATTCATGACTGAACTCTATATGCGTAAGCATCATTTTCAATCTGTTATCCTTCCATAGTTCACATTTCTAATGTATTTTCACCTCACCATTTTTATTTGATTATATAATATTTTTTTCTTGATACCTGAAATGTTCAAACATTAATAATGAATCAATCTCGTTCTGTTTTCCAGTCAGTTACTAATCAAAATACTTCACGTTTTTAAGCCAACTCTTACTTCTGATTGATCACTGTGATATGTTATCAGTACAAAACTAACCTTATTGATACTTTTATAGAATGATCTGCATATCAGAATTTAAGATTAATAAACTGGATGTAAACTCAAATACATTGTGTTTGGAATTATAAATTTGTAGAGATTTAGGTTTTTCAATTCTCAATGACTTTGAATATATACATATAGATGCCTTTGTGTGGGAACATTGTGCCGCCTATAATCAATTTATCGAATGCACATAGATTTGCGAATCTGTCACCATTCTTGTTCTTTTCTCTCAGTCAGTTCATGTTGTCCCATGATATCTTCATATTCAGTGTTGTCCATTCCAACTTTGGCCTTTAAGTCTCCCGTCAGGATTGTCATGTCTTTTCCTGAGCACTTCGCTATGATCGATTGCAGCCTCTCGTAGGATTGATCTTTATTGTCGTCATTGCTATGATTGTTGGGTGCATAACATTGAATAACATTGGTCGTAATTTCCTGGTTCTTTGTTTTGAAGAATCGTTTGGTGATTTTGGATAGGTGAGATTCTCATCCTGTAAGTGCTCGTTGGGCTTGTTTAGACAACATCAGAGCAATTCCCTGAGTGTTCGGGGCATTTTCCTCTCCGTGACCGGAGTACAGCAACATCTATTCCGAATCTATCCTTTTCTGTCCAGCTTGGATAGAAAGAATTTCCCTGATTCCGAGAATCATCACGTTGTGTCTTCGCATTTCCGTGGCTAGTTGACTGGTCTTCCCGGTTTCCCACATTGTGCGAACATTCCATGTACGTATATTAATTAATGCTCTGGTTGTTAGAAGGAGCGTCGGCCTCGTAACTTCTGGAGAATGTCGGCCTTAATCATGAGACGTCATAATTCTTCTGAATGAAGATCATTCAACTAGGAGGACAGAGTTTAAATGGTTAAAACTTTTAAATCTGGTTAGCGTTATTTAGCAAGTTTGTGTTCTACGTGATGGGGATTCTGAACCCATACTCAACCTTTCTCTTATTCGTGCTTGGGATCAGAAGAAACCCTAGAAGGGCTACAGGGGAAGTTATTTTAAGCTATAGTCTATCTTTAAAGCATATTCATAGTAGAAACACGATATTACAATGTAAACTAAATGTTTTACAATCGACCAGTTTAAATATACAAAGTAAATTAAATTTTAAGGATAAGGACCGTCCCGGAATTTATCTATACAATAAGCTTTTACCCATCTATTCAGCTTTCATTATGTATGGTTCCATAAAATGAAAACACTAGTAAGGTTATAAAAAATATTACGGATTTTGTATAAAACTTTATATTTATTTTCTTTATTTAAAGAAAAGAATATAAAGCTAAACAGTTTCATGAAAATTTCTTATTGAAACAATGTTTTACACGTTGGAGTTGTACAATACGAATGGAGAAAGTAAGTATATAATAATTTATCTATGAAAGGCTAACTGTAACAAAATATTTCTCAATTTCTTAATATAATACTTAAAAGATCTTGTCTCAGAAATACTGTTTCATCATATTTTTCAGATATATAAAATCTCCACAAAACCCTTTCTGATACTAATCAACATATGCGCACTAGTGACTGGCTTCAAGATACATATTCTGGAGTTCTAGTGAGAAGTAGTGACCAGTGGAGTTTAACCGGGTCTGTTGTGAGATAGTAACTCATTGGTGACGATGATAGATGTGTCGCCCAATTTTGTGGATTAGTTGAAATTAGACATTAACACCGTTGAGTGCCGGACGGCTCAGCGATCTGGCGGTTGGACACTCGCGTGCGAGACCGATAGGTCTTGGGTTCGGGGTCGGTGTTGCGCACTGCCGAGGGTCCCACAATAGGACGAAATGGCCATCCAGTTCTTCCAGATTTTCCATGGTGGTCTAACTTCGATTGACCCATGATCTCAACTATTGAAATGACTAAAATCTCCACCAAACTCCTCATACTGAAAATGTGTATATTTATTCGTTGTGTTATGCATCCAAATGCATTGATCTAAATCAAAATATATTGTAACGTTCATGCAGATGTGAACAAAGATAATGAAAATTGTTTCTTAGAATCGCAGAATCAAGATCAACAGGTAAAGCTGTTAGTGGTATATGGAGAGGGTGGAATCGTTCACGTCTACCTGAAGTTTGTGCTGATGATATTGTTTATAAAGACAAGGAAAATTTCATGATTAAACCATCCAAGATAGTGAATGAAACTGCATTAAATTCATCCACTTAACCTATAAGTCTTCTCCACTATTTCAATTACTGAAAGTTATATTGTAAAGGATATCTAGCTCCTTTTGTAGTTATATCCTTTTGGGTTACATAATATTATGTGTAGAGTTTTTTTGGGGGGTAGTTACACCTATTTGTAATGGTCTTAATGATCGTTTTCCGGTCTTCGGTATTTTCTTCTCATAAGACAGAAGTAATTACTTTAAAATACTTCAATTAGGTAGTAAATAAATTAGACAGTGTTGTAGAGTTCTATATAAAGTAGAGTTGATTCCTTTTCATGAATGGACATTAACTAAATAACATTTCCAAAATATTTAGAATGTTATAACTATTTTAAATTAATTTCAGACCTTTTGTAAACAAAATAACCTATCTCGAAAATATTATTCATTATTGCCTAACAGCTATATGATTATTTATTGTATTGTTAATAACTGTAAACTTTTCACTATCTATCCTTGCTTATAAAGCTTGTGACTTAAGGCAATATCTAAGTAGTCCGCACAGGATGCATATATGACAATAAGAGAATGATCAATTTCAGTTCTAATTATCAATGTGAAGATTCAAGTTTTAGTGGCCCGTTGATCTGACTCCAATTATATTGTATGGATGTTTGTTATCGCCTTTTCTCGTATATCATCATCGACTTAAATCGCGTTATCCAATAACGAAATTAAATAAGTCGAATAACGAGAATCGACTTGAGAATACATATATTTCGTACATAAAGCGAATGAAGCACAGCAAAGCAAAAATGACACGTATGGAAGATGGCTGGGAAGCCAACTCCATTTCAAGCCGGGCATTACTCAATATTTATAGGCAGACAAAATAAACTACAGACATGTGATGAGTCATCGGACATGAAGTGTACACACATGTACGCTCATGTGAAAACAGTCAAGACTGATAAGCGAATAATTAACAAGGTCAAAATATGACTCAAGTAGAATGAATAGAATGGAATGTCCGAAAACTAGAATAAGATATATTATGGGCTAAAACTAATGACTAACACTACAAAGTAAACAACATCATATGAATTTAAAACTTAACCTCATTGTATAAACTAGTGACTATCAGGACTCAGTAAGTAAGTGGATAACCCGATAGCGTTGGAAGTAAACGGTACTGGGCTCAAGTTTTATAGCAAACATCAAATCTAAGATGCAGGTACATCCAGCTGACGAGTCCCAAATAGGACGAAACGAACACCCTGGACTCCTCTTCTAGCCACTATCCATCTTTGCTTTTCAGATGTACATTTCTCAAAAGTTTCGGATAAAAATATTTTTTGTATTGTTGGTTACAGTAATATAGTATATATAACCTTAGCTAACCAGACAATACATTTATTTCATATCAGCTAAGTAAAAGATTATATCCTTTATTCTTTTACAATTTCTTGTTCACAGTCAACTCGTGATCAGTTAGAAAAAGAATCATTCAGACGTGAAAAAGAAATCGAATTTCTCAATCATTTAGATACTTTATTGAACAATCATCAAACAAAAACATTAACATCTGATAATGATAATACTACTACTACTAATAATAATAGTAATAATAATAATAATAATAATAATAATAATAATAATAATCGAAATAATGAAACTTTACCACTTGGTAATCGTATATGTTTAACTGATAGAAAATCACAAAAATCAAAGGTAATTAATTACATAACTTTGTAGTAAGGTTATTTTCACTTGTAAACATTTTCTTTTTTCATTTTTCATTAGAATTTGTCGTGTAGCTTATTTGGTGACTGGAATTTCACATACTATTTTAATTATTAATTATTATTTGAAGTTAGACATTAACACTGTCCGGTGCCGGCTCAGTAGTCTAATGGTCAAGTACTCGCGCGCGAGACCGATATGTTCTGGGTTCGAACCTCGCGGGGCAGGGTCGAGGAGGAGGGGGAGTCCCACAATAGGACGAAACGGCTGTCTAGTGCTTTCAGGTTTTCCATGGTGGTTTAGATTCAAATGACTCATGATCTCAGAAAGTGATAATAATTAATCTGCTAACCACTAAACAAATATAATAAAAAAATACAAAATTAGTTTACATTTTCTTGAATTGAACTAATAGATTGGTTAACTTTATAAGCAAAGTTGGGTGGTGGCTAATAGTGGAATACAGTTTGACGCGCGTTTCGTCCTATTTGGGACTTGTCAGCTGGGTGTGCCTGTTAGCCACCATCTAACTTTGCTGATAATGCTTATGAATTAAGGCAATATCAAGGCAGTACGCAATGGATGCACATATGCCAATGAGAGACTGATCAATTGCAGTCTTAAGCAACCATGGCTGATTATCTATACCTTTACTATAATTACCATGCTTCCAGAATTTTCTGGGGAGTTCTGTCACATGAAACTCTATAATGTACACTCAATTTTCTGAACATACCCAACCTTGAAGTATAGGTTTTCATTACATTTCTTATCTTATTGTTAGGGAGATTCAGAAAATTCCTCGAAAAAACCAAAAAAGGCCCTGCAAACGCTAAGAAACGTCTTATCCAATTACGATTCGACAGAAGTTTTGCCAGAAACATCTAGGAAGTGAAAAGTCACGTGTCGCGTTTCTGATTGAATGATTACCTATACTACTATTATGCTTGGTAGCGTTCAAGAAATTTCCGGAAAACCAAGACCATATAAAATACTATAAATACCCTAGATTTTCTGTGCATGAATGGATATTTGGAGTAAAGCGTTTTTCCATTTATCTCAGCTTTTCTCTCATGTTCAAGTTGCTGTGTAGATTTAGTTTGGGGGCTAATAGGAGAGCTTAGTAACCGAATCTAGCATTCAATTAGATGGCTTATCACTTCTCCCTATCGTTTGAGCTGATAATCTTAAAACGATTATACATAGTGATGCTTGAATAACATACTGAATATATAAAGCTGTATGAAATAACAGCTTAGCCAGTTGGACATTATGCCAAAATGACTTTAAAAATTGGAAATATGTTTACAAAACAACCCTCAGACGATTTTCAAAAAATGCATTTGCATTAAGGTATGCCAAATTCAATCGTTTAATCTCACTAAAGTTTGAGTTGCTCTTTAAGAAATTGATACTATTTTCACATGAAATGTTTCAGTATTTGTATTTTGTCGTTGACAGTAAGGACTGTAGCTGATCATTTATTTATGGCACAAGCACGTGTTGAACGAACTATCTTGATATTGCCAAATATTCACACTTATCTTGACAAATTTAGGTAATGGATAACAACTGAATCCAGAACTGACGCGTACCGAAAAAGACAAAACTCTCGTCCTAGGTCTCCGAGTTAACTACTACTCAGCTTTGTTAAAATACTTTATCATATTGTTTTATTTTAAAATTCGTATTCTGTACATACAAAATGTTATTAATTAGTAAATGACTTCATTGTGTCTAACTGTCATATACCTGAAGTTTGTGCTGATGATGTCGTTCAGAAGAATGATGAAAGCTCCACGACTAAACCTTTCACCTCAGGGAACAAAACTCTATCAAAATCATTCACGTGAGCTACAAATCTTCTTCACCCTCTCAAATTATCTTCTCCATCATTACTATCAATAACAAAAGATTTTTAGTTATTCAGTTACTTATTTTGGTCAGATATACATCCGATTATATTTAATTAACATTAGAATGCTCATCCAGGCTGTATTTTATGTTAGAACACTTTGATAAGCTCATTTTGTTTGGTAGTACTTTTATTTGCATAATAACTAGAATGATTCTTCTAACTTTAGCATTTGCTTAAGGATTTATTCATTGTCTTAAATAACAGCAACATACATTATCATGTATCACTCAATTAACTTTAATGATAGATTGTTGTAATTCGTATTGTCATGTTATTTACTTATAGGTTATTATAAGAGATACTTGTTTCTTAATAGAAATCGAATTGATTTTTTCAGGAGACTGGTATGCTATAATCTCGTTGTAATTTTTGTAGAGTTGAGTGATATATATTCCCAATGATCTTTCACCAAATTCATTATTATCTTGTGAATCCTGTTTCATGAATTCCAGACTGTAAATACCAACAAAGTGTGTTTGAAATCAGCGAATTCATCTCTTTCAGTTGAAGACTTGATATCGGGTGATTTTACTCTGGATCATTACAAAAGTGATAAAAAAGTTAGTCCATTATATTATTTCCTAAGGATAATGTTTGCTTTCATCATGTTTTTATTGTTTTAACTTAACATAGAACCAGCATAGTGAATTATGGTGTACCGTTTGATTTTTGGAAAAATGTAAAAAATTTGTAAATTAAATATTCCCTGAAAAACATAGAACACATAAAACTGAGTAAAGGAATATTTCTTGCAAATTAGATTTATATCAGAGCCTTGCATAAGTATTACAATTAAATATAAAACCGACACTAACTAAATGACTATTGTGGTGTGTGCTACTTATATTTGACATAAGTAGTAGATGATGTTATTCGTGAACAGAAGGTCTGGCAGCAGGGAGAGAGAGAGACAAGAGGATTGAACAGTAAAGAATGGAAAAAGGATGCAATTTGTACGAAAATGCAAGAACAATGAAGTCTGAGTCATTTTGAGACAATTGGCGGACATTTTGCAAATTGAGCATTTACTTTATGATTGTTAGATTTTATTAACATGTCCTGTAATTTTGTGTCAAATACATTCGATTATCCCCATTGGTGTTCTCGTTCCCTACACTATAAGTTAAATTACGGTAACTGATTGTTTAGTTGTAAAGTTCAAGGTTTATCTAACAGCAAACTAAAGTAACTTATTAACAGAATACATTATAATTACCATCAGAAGACTTGAAATTTCTTGTTAAGTGGTCAAATAGAAGTGACGTAATAATTATTTAATGTAGATATACCGATACTTTTATAGTTGATGTTGATCAGGAGGAAATAGTAGTTTTAGGTTCCTTACTAGTCTTGATCCCTCACAAGGTGTTTCTTGTAAGACTAGGATTCACCTTACCCAAATTCGGAGTCTGAGATGGAAACACTTGAGGCTTAACTGAACATCTGTTGAACTGAGATATGTACAGAGGGTTCATCATTGAGTAGTTACTTTAGTTATGTTTGTTTTGGATGCCGGTCGCCTCAGTGGTCTAGTGATTATGTGCTCGCGCGCAAAACCAGTAGGTCCTGGGTTCGAATCTCGCGGGGGGGGGTCGTGGATGTGCACTGCTGAGGATTACCACAGTACGAAAAAACGACCGTCCAGCGCTCCTAGGTTTTCCATGGTGGTCTAACCTCAATTGACTCATGATCTCAACTATTAAAATTGATATATATTAGCTTAATCTTTCTTTTTGTTTAAAATTGTAGATCAATCGAATACTATCCGCTCAATCAAGTGTAATGAAACCAATTTTAAATCAAACTATTATACAACAACGTAATATTATTGCTGCACAAAATCGTGAAATTAATGCATTAAAAGCAGCTCATCGTTATTCTGAATGGTTATTAGAAGCACGAGCACATAAATTAGCTAAAAATATAATAGAAAAAGTAAAAGAATGATTTTTTTCTTTGAAATTAAACCAGGAGTCATTACTAGAACTTCTTTGTTATTGTCAATAGTTTTCAAACTTACTATCATGTTATTTCATTATTTATTTTAAAGAAATGACTAAGATATGTTTCCAGTTGAATAGATAACTTATGGTTAGAAGTGAAAACGTAGATGGTCATTTCGTCCTGTTCTGTACACGTCAGTTCAATATACCCTGAACCCATATTGATGTTCATACCAGATCTAGAATCGAGTACCTATCATTTTAAGTGTCAGCTCGTTATTCATTAAGCAACTAGACCAATTTTACTACATATCTGTTTATTGAAGATGTTAATAATATTGTTATTAGTATAGGTTTGAATTACTCTGTTATCGAAATTCAACACAATCTTTGTTAGTAAATGCATATCCTGCTTATATTGCCTTGATATAACCGTTCCACTGTTAGCCACAGTTCATCCCTTCTAAATAATTTGTAACAAAATGGTTACATTAAGATTGTTCGAACCGAATCTACACGTACTATCAATGACTAATCAAAATCCATTATTGAATAAAAACAATAAGATAAACTCTAACCAAAGACGGATAGTGGCTAGCAGTGGAATTCAAGATGCACGTTTGATCCTATTTGGGACGCGTTAGCTGGATGTACCTGCATCTCAGAGTTAATGTTCATTCTGGGACTCGAACCCAGTACCGTTCACTTCAAACGCCATCGCATTATCCACTTCTCTACTGAGTCTTTGCTTATAATGCCTGTAAATTAAGGCAGTATCGAGGTAATATGCACAGTATGCACACATGCCAATAAGAGACTGATCAATTGCAGTCCCAAACATCAATGGGAAGATTCAAGTTATAGAAAAACAATACAATGTGAAATAAACTCTAACCCTTACTAATAATAATATGTTTCCAAGTTATTAAATAGTAATAACATGATATCTATATTTAAATCCTTTTGCTTTAGACTAATACAAAAATCAATGAAGCTGATAAATCTTCCCCTGAATTGAATGAATCACCAGTGCACGTTGAAAACGGTAAAGATGATCAAGTTCATTCTCAACTAATGTATGTCTTCAACATTCCTAGATGTAATATTATTCGTTAATCAAAAATGCAATCAAGTTTCTAACATTTGAGTCATTATAATTTTGAAAAATATTTGCCAATGTGATGGCGACTTGTAATTACACAAATATTCAGGTGACTGATGTATTGACTAGATTCCCGATGTTAAGTTTGGTTAATAGACAACCAGGAATAATGTTTCGAAGGTATAATAGTTCATGCGACGTTGTCTTACCTTACTAAAACTTAAATCGAGACACAACTGTCGACTACTCCCTAATTATCAGTAACTTATTAGTTGATAACAATTAATATCAAGTCGGACATATGTCTAAGGTAAACCACGTCAGATATTCATGACGTCACTGTCCATCTTGATTCGATCTTAATACAGTTGTGAACAAATATGACCACGCCTATTTAGGTTTGATTAATGAATATTTCACCAAAGTTTGTATATGGTGATTAAGAATGACTATTTCAGATTGATCATTTGTAATTACTTAAAAAAATGGTCAAAGATTGCTCTCCTGAACCTGGTTCATTTCAACTTTATACCTGAAGATTAATGAAGTCACTAATCAAAGTGTACAACTTAGTTGATAGTTTTACGACATATATTTTTTAAAATAAGTGGAGCTATGGTAAACTTAATAAAATTTATGTGTTTTATGGAGAACTTCATTATTTGATCATTGAACTTTCGAGACACATCAATTTTCGTTCTTCTAAATTTTGAAGTGTTTTTCCTTTTAATATTCCTTACTTTCATATAGCGCAGTCTTACATGTCTCTATTAAAGTAGTGCATTTTACTGTGTTTAATTGTCTACCAGTGTTAATATCATTATTTCTGTAAGTTTGCTTTACAATTTTTAGATCTTGATAATTTCATTTTCATAATCATTGCCTGATGTAAGAAAAGAAAGGCGTAGATCTAGAAAATATTTACACAATGTTATGTAATTCTGAGTAAAGATGGATGCTGGCTAACAGTGAAATCCAGGATGCACATCTCGTCTTATTTGGGACTCGTCAGCTAAATGTACCCGCATCTAGGAGTTAATGTTCACTCAAGGACTGTTTGCTCAAAACGCCAAAGCTTTATCCACTTAGATACTGAGTCCTGTTAGCCGTTTGCTTGTTCAATAGGGCGAGGTTTAAATTCATTTGGTATTATTTGTTTCAATCTATCTTTGTTTAGAATGCTTGTAACTTAATAAAATATCGAGGTAATTCGTACAGGATGCATATATGCTAATAAGAGATTGATCATTTGCAATTCTAAACATCAATAAGAAGATTCAAATAACCAATACAAAATGAATTAAAGGTTACGTGACATTGAGACGGAGGAGAAAATTTTGTAGCTCAAGTGGATGATTTCGATAGAGTTTTGTTCTCTGAGTTGGATGGTTTGGTCGTGGAGCTTTCATCGGTCTTCTGAACGACATCATCAGCATAAACTATTACACAAACTTCAGGTAAAAGTTCATACTGATGATGTCGTTCAAAAGAACGATGAAAGCTTCACGACCAAACCATCCAACTCAGAGAACAAAACTCCATCAAAAGTTATATAATGTTTTTCTACTGACCAATAACTGGAAAGAATTATTATTATTATTATTCAATGTGTACCTTTAATTTATTTTTAATCATGCTCAAAATCTTGCTTACTTACGCCTGTTAATTCTCGTGGAGCATAGGTCACCCACCAGCACTCGCCATCCAACACTGTCCTGGGCAATCCTTTCTAGCTCCTTCCAGTTGTTATTCATCCTTTTCATATCTGATTCTATTTCCCGACGTAATGTGTTATTTGGCCTTCCACTTTTCCGCCTAAATTCAGGATTCCAAGTTAGGGCTTGCCTCGTGATGCAGTTTGACGATTTGCGTAATGTATATCCTATTCATTTCCATCGTCTTCTCTTAATTTCTTCTCCAGCTGGAATCTGGTTTGTTCTCTCCCACAGGAGGCTGTTGCTGTTGGTATCCTTCCAATGGATGTTGAGTATCTTGAGTAGACAACTAATTATAAATGCTTCACTTTCTTGATGATGATTGTAGTAGTTTTCCAAGTTTCAGCTCCGTACAGTAGAACTAACTGTCTTGACGTTCGTATTGAAGATTCTGACTTTGATATTGGTTGGAAGTTGTTTTGAGTTCCACATGTTTTTTTTCAATTTTAAGAATGCAGATACTCAAACACAACTATTTATATTTACTATTCTCAAAAATATATAGATTCTATACATATCACTAAAATAATTTACATTTCTTGACACTCTTTTCTTCTTCTTATTATTATTAACAAGATCAAACGAAATGAAAAGTCCCATTAATGATAATCATTTAATGACAAATGATTTATCAGGATCAATTCCTTTAAAAACTATATCGATTAATAAAAAAAACTCATTTATTCAAAGTAAGTCTATAAATTTATGAATGTACAATGATCTTTAATGAGATTAAAGTTTAAGGACGAACCAATCAAATTTGAGGTAAAAGATCTTGAATTTTAACGCGAACTTCACTCATCAATTTTAGCTGATGTCAGTTCGTGATGAAAACTATAAATCTAAATCCTAACGCTAATCATCAGTTGTAAATCATTATCTTTATTCTTCAAACTGCTTTATAACTTTCATTTAGCGGGATCGTGGGTGTGCACTGCTGAGGAGTCCCGTACTAGGGCGAAAGAGCCGTCCAATGCTTTCAGGCTTTCCATGGTTGTCTAGCTTCAATTGACTCATAATTTCAACCAGTGAGATTTTATGTATTGATTATTCAAAATTGTTTTCAAATCAGATTTCCTGTAAATTACACTACAATGTTATGCCTCTGAAACGATATTTATTAAATATTTCTACTCATCTTTGTTATATCACGTAACAGAACTGTCACTTCAATTAAACACCATCATAATAATGTAACCATTGTTATAAACTCTTCAATTAAAACCACACAATAACATCGTTTGGACAATTTATTTTACTATGATGTATATTTCACTTCATCATTCTAACTATGATCAGGTATGTCGGTCTAATGCGTAATTGTAGCTAGTGATGCTCAACTCAATGATGATTGAGAGAGATATCACCTACAGCAGTGAATAAAGACGATACAATGTCATAACGCGACTAAAGTTAAATATACAGATATTTAGATGCTGACTCAGTGGTCTAAAAATGCTGAGCTTACCATATAGCCTTTTGGTTTTGAATTTGATGTCTAATGGTGTCGCAGCTCTTCACTAGGATGAATCGACTGTCAAGTACTTTTTAGTGTTTAATAGTTATCTAAATAAATTCATTACTTTATATAAGCTGTCTTTATAATGAACAATATCCAAAAGCCTTCTATTTTAATGCATTATACTTTTTTTTATAAGAATTTATTCTATTGAACTATTTAGTTTGCATGTATCTAGGGTAATAGTAAGTAAATGGGATACATTTTAATCCTCAATCCTGTTTTGCTTAAACTTACAAAAGGAACCAATAGAAGGCAAACAACATGTTAAGAAGTTGTATTTTAATTAGAAATTATTATAAAACTTATTTAAATAAACTAAATCATAACAATTAAATGTGATAGTATACAAACTTTTAATTGAACTTGTCTTATTGTCGAGTATATTTTTGTATTACCATGGTAACATGATCTGTTCAATATATCAACCAACTGAATTATATGACTTCAGAAATACTCTCATGAAATTTCTAAAATGTTGAATGATATTAATAACGATAAAACGTTCAAGAAAAAAAGCTTTTCAATAATATCTGTGAAGATTGAATGGATGATATACAGCTAAGACTATAATCAACTTCTTATGTTTGAAATTCAAGTCAAACATGTGCATTTGATTTTGTTTTTCAATTACACATTAGCTCTATTACTGATTCTTAATGAATCGAATGAAGGAAAATTCTCTGTAGATATGATTAAAACGAGATCGTTTGATTTGAGAAAACCATGTGCCTGATTTATCATCAAGTTATGAATATCTGATCTGAATATTGCACTGAATGGTAAATTCCCATTCAAACACTCAATTCCCTTTAGTGTGTCATCAATAGTGATGAATGATAGTTCAACTGTTAAGATACTGATTATAACTTCTTAAGACTTTTGAAGATGATATAAACTGAAGAAGCGACTATAGAAGAAATGTATTATTACACATAGGGTGTATTTTAAATGGATTATTGTTGATCTATCCTAAAATATGTGAGATCAGTTAGAGTATTACAGAAAATCGATCTATTATGACCTTAACGGAACCATTACGACACTCTCTATAATAACAAGATACACCATCCAAAGTTATGTTTTCTACCCTTATTGAATTACTAGTTTACTTCAGATAATCATAGATTACTTATAGAATAATTTCTTCCACTCTTTTTTAGAAATGGAAGAAAGAGCAGCTGAACGTGCTCGTCGACGTGCATTACAAGAAGAAAGAAGACGTGAAAATGAACAAAAGAAAAAAGTAGGCGTATTTCTAATTTCTTTTATTCATCAGTCTATAATAACAGTTTACTGGTGAGAAATATGAAATGACAAAAGTGCATATGACAACAATCTTTACACTCAGCTAAACATTTCTATATAGGAAAACAATAATCACCATTATGAATCAGTGTTCTTTATTCTTAATCTTTCTCCAACTCTCCTCTACATTAGTCAACATAGCAACTAGACAAAGATAATAGTTACGTATATTAACCTATGAAAAAAATGATTAAACAATTTTAAGATTATGCATAATGTGTAAGTGAAGTCAAATACATCACCATTTGAACCGGTCGTGAAGTGGAGATGATCTATTTGTACTTTTAAAGAGTAAAAGTGATTGAACCAAGAATTGTACATAATGAATTATTTACATGATTGTAAAAGTTGACGTGACTCCCTATGGTAAATATGATACTCTTTTACAGAATAAATAATATTTCTTATTTCTAAGAATATTTCTGACTGTGTTCTTTTTCTCATAACCAAAGGAACAGTTAGCTAAACAGTTAGAAGAAGAGGCTAACAGAATCAAACAAGAAAAGATAATGTTGAAGAATGAACAAAAAGAAAAGAAGATACGTGAAGAAGAGGTTGTCATTACTGTAGATGTTTTGTTGAGTTATTCAGACATTTCTTATATATATATATATATATATATATATATATATATATATATATATATATATATATATATATATAACAGAATATTGGTATAATGTTTAGAGATTAATTGGTGAGACTATAATTTATGGACGATATTTGAGCTGACGATAAAGTGATGTTGAGAGTGTCCACTTAATAAATGGTACCAAATGAGGGTTATGAAACATTGTGGGGAATTAGAATTATGATTTTATCGTTGATGGTTAAGACTAAGAATTAGATTTTGGGTTTTCATCACGAACTGACATCAGCTATAATACCGAAACTTTATGTAAGCAAACGGATGAGTGAATTTCGCGTCAAAATCCGAGACCTGTTATCTTTTACCTGGTTGGTTCGTCCATAAATTATAGTCTCGCCGATTATTTGGTTTTTTTTTGGTTTACTATACGAAGTGACCAATGTTAGACAAATATTGAAAACTAAGAAGAACTGAATAGATGTATTGTTTGAGCATGAGATTTCTCAGCATTGGAAATCTATGATACTTTCGAAATCCCAGCTCAAGACTTTCAGATCCGTAAGACCCATAAGTCCATAAGTTTGAATTCATTAGTTCGCATTTTCAACTTTGTTCAACTTATGGTTTTCTATTAAGTTTATTTCTAAAAAAAAAGTGATTTTCTTCTCGAATTGGCATGGGAAACTAGGGAATTCCTCTTTTTGATTGAGATCATGAACCGTTTGATGTTAGACCATCATTGAAAACTTGGAAGCACTGGACCTCCGTTTTGTTCTATTGTGGGACTTGTCAGCAGTGCGCATCCACGATCCCATTCGCGAGACTTGAACCCAGGGCTTTCAGTTTCGTATGCAAACGTTTAACCTCTAAACTTCCAACAGATTCCGCGAGCGGGATCGTGGATGCGCGCTGCTGACGAGTCCGACAATAGGACAAAACGGAGGTCCAGTGCTTTCAGGTTTTTAATGATAGTCTAACATCAATAGGTTCATGATCTCAATCAAAAACTTAATAATCTCCATAACCCTATACTTGAATTCTCTTTGTCAGCTTGAAGATTGATTGGGTTTAATTCTGTTTAATTTTAATTTTTTTTCGGACAAATTACAATCACGTAAAAAAACCCAGTTAATCATTCAATTGATTTTAATCTCTCTAATGTTTCCTTTACTGATATTAGCTTACAACAAAATTTTATTGTTAAATTACATGAAAGTCATCAAATATTGTCAATCTTATGCGGGATCGTGGGTGCGCACTACTGAGGAGTCCCATACTAAAACGAAACGACCGTCCAGTGCCTCCAGGTTTTCCATGGTGGTCTAGCTTCAATTGACTCATGATTTCAATCAGTAAAATTTCTAAAATCTCCACAAAACCCCTTCTGATAATCTTATGTTTGTTTATTTTTTTAGTTAAAACAACAAAAAGAATTAAAATTAGCTTATCAACGTGAATTGAACTTAAAAGTTACTATGCATAGAAATATTTCGTGTTTACGTTATTATGGTCTTAAACCATGGATAAACTATGTATTAAAACAACATGAATTAATTCAGATGGCTGATTGTTATGAAAAAAAAACAATGATGAGGTAATTTATACTATATGATTTTATTTTTCATACAATTCAACATATTTGTAATCGCTTGACTTCGAGATAATTTCTTATCCATCACTTTGATAACAGTTCCGTCAGTCAGTCAGTAACAATGCAGAAATTCGTACGTACGTACGTACATCATTTTGAGTTACCATACCACATTAGCACAGAGATGCAGTTGTCGATTCAAATCCCGTTATTAAAAATAGATCTCAACGGTGTATAAATTCAAAAGGTAGCAGGATGAGCCGATTATAGTTTATTATTTGATAGCACAGATAAGAAATTTTACAAGCTCACTAAGCGATCAAGTGAATATAGAAGCGGATTCAGAGTTAAATCGAACCGAAGCGAAGCAATTGATAAGATTCAAGCACATATATACATATGGTAAAGCGAATGATTCATCGAGCGATAATTAAGCGACTAACATTTAAAGTAGAATGAGGCAATATATGCGTAGGCTGTCACATGCTATCAATCAGACGTGTTAGTGGTCATATTAAAATAAATAAACAAATTGTTACTGTTTAAACAACACTATCGATTAAATGAGTTAATTGAACAGCTTGACAAAATTAACCGTAAACAAACTTAGTAGTAGAATAGGTGTTATATGCTTGGTTTGAAGCGGTTACGAGTTCACTTAATCTGCGAACGGAACAAGAATGGGTGGCCAAAGACCGATAAGTCAGCTATTTGATGTGTCCCAGCCCCGCTAACTAGAGGAAGAAGTCCAAGCTTGAAATGGGGAAGTATATTCCGCAAAAGCTGGAAGCACGAGCTGTAACAACAGACACAAATCAAAACGTATATATACAGCACAAAACCGTCCTTGGAGAGATTTACAAAATAGCATACTAAAAGATACAACGGACCAATGGCATTGTTTACTTCTTTTCTTTGGTTGTATCTCCCATTGGTTTGATTTTTGTTCCTATGTTAGACACTGACAAGCTTAAGGTCAACAAGAATTAATCAACATCGTGATCTACAGGACAAGCTGTGAATCTCATATGGAACAAATCTAACACTTCACTTGTACCTGAAGTTTGTGTTGATGATGTCGTTTAGAAGAACGATGAAAGCTCTACGATCAAACCATCCAACTCAGAGAACAAAACTCCATCAAAATAATCCACCTAAGCTATAAATCTTCTCCACCATCTCAAAATACATGAAGTTAAGCTATATTCGTTGTCATTTGAATACATTGATACATAGTTACAAAGTAGAGAAAAATCACCATTCGTTGTTAATAGATTTCCTATAATTCTTAAAAGTGATCATAATTCATAATGAAAATTACATTGATATATGGTATCTTATTCATTCTCTTATAAATTTTCTGCTTTAAATCACATTTATTCTTCACAGAAATACATTTCACACTTGGTTACTACATTTAAAAAGTAAATATGAACAAGAAACTAAATTTGTTCAATGTCATTACAATGTATTTCTAATGAAAAAAACTATAAAAGCACTGCAGAAGGTTAGTTTCTTTGAATTGAATTGACTTTAATTGAATTACATTCAATTGTGTAGCTTAATTAATTCAAACCAAATTGTTTATTCAAAAATGATATGATAGTGTACATGCATAATATCAACATTAAGATTTAAATAAAGGTTACTTACATACGTACTTACGCCTGTTACTTCTAGTGGAGCATAGGCCAACAACCAGCATTCTACAACTTACTCTGTCTTGGGCCTTCTTTTCTAATTCCATCCAATTCTTGTTCATTTTTCTCATGTCTATCTCCATTTCCTGGCGTGATGTGTTCTTTGGTCTTCCTCTTTTCCTTTCGCCTTGAGGATTCCATGTGAGGGCTTGTCTTGTGATGCAGTTAGGTGCTTTCCTCAATGTGTGTCCTATCCACTTCCAGTGCTTTTTCCAGATTTCTTCGTCCGCTGGGGTCTGTTTTGTTTTTTCCCGCAGAGAAACTCCGCCTGGAGTCCCTCCAAGGGTTACTGCCGGTCCCATGCCAGGATAAAGAAGTGGGTTGAGTATGGGGTTAACGACCACATCTCGTAGAAAACTAACTCGCTAAAAAACGTTAACCAGAAAAAATTATTCAGACCATTTAAACTCTGCCCTGGGAGTCAGAAGGTCTTCATTTAAAAGAGTATGACGCCTCATGATGATGATGATGAAAGCCGAATTAAAGGCTAGTCGATGATTAATTTCGACTGTTGGGATGAAGACCATTTTTGAAAAATTGCAAAGAAAAATCAATGTGAATCTCCTTCATTAACTAGAATGTATCTCGGGCTTAACTACGTATTTCATTTTCAATTTTTTCTACACAAAAGCTAAGGAGAATCCAATATTAAATGATTTATTATTGAAAAGTTTCTAGGAAGATACATAGAATGTTGGAACGAAATTTGTAGCTCAGGTGGATGATTTTGCGGATTATATAAAATCCCATTGAGTGTTTCACCTCAAAGCTGTGTTCAACTCCTAGATTCAAAAAACTGGAATATGTTTGAAAATAGTTTTGTTATGGAAAATAACATACTCAATCATAATTTACAAGTCACTAACCAATAAGGTGTCCAGATGTCATTCATATTATCGAAAATCCAGTTAAATTGAATATGGTTCCTTTAAGTAAATGAATAAGAATAAAGTTACAGCACGAATATCGTTAAATTGCACATAAGTGTGCCAAGTAGAATTATCAGCAACCAATGAAAACAAATCGTTTACTGTGTATCAAAAATAGAAAAGCCACTCAAAATCAACAAACTTCAAAGAGAAGCGAACGCAAATACGATTAAACAAAGAAAACAGTAAGTCATACTGTGGTGAGCAGAAAAGCTAACTGAAACATAAAACAAGAGTACAAAAATATGAAATGAGTGGTTTTTTCTGCCTACAACACATCTTTCGGTAAATAGATCATAAAAATAGTAGAGTATGCCTCAAACTACTGATTAATAATAAATAATATCGATTGATATACTAAAGAGTCGAAGCTAATATAACACGCGATAAATAACAAGTCAAGAAAACGCTTTTCCCACTTCGAAACTCCACATTACATAACGAATCAACGTTTCCACAGGAACCTATTCTTTGTGAAACTATATAGGCCTTTCCAAGCGCAATGTACTTTAGTTGCAATTAAACATTATTAAATGATGAATGGTACATCGAAGAAATATTCAGTCGAATAGAAGTGCAGTCAGTCACTTTATGCTTCTAACTAATCTATTATAATCACCCCGTTGGACTTAAACACATTTTTTATTGTTCATAGTCAGAGAGAATCACTTTGCGTGGCTTTATCGATAGCTTATAGTGGTTTTTGTCTAATTTGATTTGTTTTCTCAATGCATTTATATGATATTAGATCAAGTGAATCAAGAGTTATTTGTAGATCATTTATTTTAATATTAGCAGCTTATTCTGAGCTAGATGCTATAGTCATACTGCACTGATTCCCCTCCTACACAACACTACCAACAGTAACTTCAAAAATGAGTTAATACATTTTCCATAAGGAATGTGATTATGATGAGAATGATATAGTCTTGAAAGGCAAGAGGACTTGATGATTAAATCGTACAGATGGGAAAACTCAACTTAAATATACTTCCTGTGAACTATAGATTTTATTCAACATGTTGAAAAATATCCCACTAGATTATTTCTTTTCGTGTGTTGTTCGTTGTATGCATAGATAATTGTGACCGTGTCCTCTCATATTATTACTATTATACTATCATTATTATTATTATTATACAGGCTTGTGAAATACGTAAAGAGAATGCGACTTTTGCTAACAAATGGTATCATAAACAGCTTCTACGAAGTAGTTTTTCATTTTGGGTTCAGTACGTAACTGATCTTTACATTCAAGAATGGCAACAAGAGGAAACTGCTTTGGAACATTATAACAGGTAGGATCTTCAGAGATATATATGTATCATAATTGTTTGACCACAACTTTTCACAGAAAATGATGATGTCTAACATATGTCTCAGATTAAAAGAACAGTGACCATTAATGCATAACAAGTTATTGTCTGATACTTTGAGAAAATGACAGTTAAATCAAGTTTACTTATAAAACTGAAAACTTATACTAAATATGTAATGTTTGAAATTCGAATAATTACTATACCGCAATAATTTCTCAGTAGAAAGACAGTTTACAAACAGAGATGAATAGTGGCTGGCAACGAAATCCAGTACGCGCATTTCGTCTTATTCGGGACTCGTCAGTTGGATGTACCTACATCTGAAAGTTAGTGTTCACTCTGAAACTCGAACCCACTACCGTTCGCTTCAAACGCCTTCGACTTAGCTACTAACTCCTGATAGCAACGTAATTATGCAATGGGATAAAATGTTTACTTATATCTTCCAATTATTGTTTAGGACGATGTAAGCAAACAACACCACGTGAACTTTAATTTTCTGTTAAATAATTTTGTTTTCAATATGCTTAAAATTGATTATTTTTTTTTAAAAAATTCATGGATTGGTTGAAGTTAGTTATTAACACCATTAGATACCGGCTCGGTGATCTGGGGATTAAGCGTTCACGCGTGAGACTGATATGTTATGGGTTAGAATCTCGCGGAGCGGAATCGTGGATATGCACTTCTAAGGAATTCCACAATTAAACAAAACATCCTGATAAATCTTGCAAATTGAACGCTATATTCGTTTCTCAAGATATTCTGTAACCCCCGAGCTAGAACTATACAGCGGCCTGAACAACGAGAGAGAAGACATAAAGTATGCGAGAAGTACTTTTTCCAAGGTTCATTTCAATACAAAAAATACAGGGTTTTCATAATATTTTAATGTCCTTGGGTTGCTAGAAGATTCTGGAATGCTACTAAGCATAGTAAGCAGTGTACCAGTTAGTCAATCAGAACCTCTGGATGTGATATTTCTGGCTAAATTTTCAAGTGAACGGTGATTGGAGGAATGCTTCTTAGTGTTTTCCTGATCCTTGCTTGACCTTTGCGAGAAATTTTCTAGGTCACCCTAACACATCCATCCAGTGCTTCCAGGTTCTCCATGGTGATATAGCTTCCATTCACTCATGAAATCAATTGTTAAAAAAAAATAATTTATTTGATTAAAAGATTATTATTTCATTATTTTTTTCATATAAAGGCATCTGTTGTATATTTATTTTAAAATTTGGATTGATTTTCCAAATCAACAACGTGCACAACGTCAACGAGAATATCGTCGTGAACAATTTCGTAAATGTCTACTTGATATTATACCTGATTTTAATCCACCTAAACAAGATATCAATGAAATGGACTAAATGTTTACATGAATTGTTATCATTGTTTAAGTCAAAATTGTAATTATGTAATATTGTAAAGTTTTTTTTATTGTTGTTGTTATTCTGATTGAGATATTTGGTTTATTAAAATGTAATAATAATGTGAAATCTCAAATCATAATATGTCATGAGAGCTGCTAAGTTCACTGTTTGGTTAACACAGGATACAATCACAATTGATTGATCATTTGGTGGCGATCAATGTCATGCGTGTCTAGTCCTTACTAGTGCAGACCGAATGCTATCGACCATGTTGCAATATGGCCACCAGCCTAGGTGACTTGACATTGCGTGCACTATTGTGAGATTAGATAGTGGTTGGAGGTAGTCAGTGAATGATACATAGAACGAAAGCTCATGTTATGTAGAATAAAATAGGGACAAAAATAAATATAAGTGTTTTACAAGGATGGAATGAAATTAAATAACGTCCGAAGAAAATAGCTTTCGTAGTTGTCTGGACTTCTTATTTCCCCGTTCACAACAACAGGACAAGCTGTGAAACACATATGGAGAAATTCGAACACTTCACCTCTATCTAAAACTTGTGCTGATAATGTCGTTCAGAAGAACGATGGGAGCTCTACGACCAAACCATCCTGCTCTGAGGACAAAACTCCTTCAAAATCATCCACCTGAGCTACAAATCTCCACCATCACAAAGAGGCATGTTACGCTACTGTCTTTAGTAGCCCAGGATCTGACTTCAATTAGGTTGTATGAATGTTCGTCATTGAATGATTGCTGTCAAAATATATATGTCACCTATCCTCGTATATTTCGTCGACTTAAATCGCTTTAGTCAATATCGGAATTAAATAAGTCAAATACGAGAATGAATTTCGATTACATATATTTCATACAATCTTTGATCCAGACAAAATATCGGGGAAGCGAAGCGAAATGAAGGGACGCGCAGTAGAGAAGGCGTTTGAGACAACTCCATTTAGTCAAGTGTTAGTCGATATTTATAATCACACAAAAATAAGTTACAGACATGCGATGAATAGGGTAAGAAATGTACACACACATATGCACTCATATAAAAACAGTCAAGTTTGATAGGTGAATAACTAACAACGTCAAAATATGACTCAACTAGAATGAATAGATTGGGCTATCCGAAAGCTAGAATAAAGTACATGGGCTTAACATTAATAAACGACACAACATATCCAACGGTAGTATGCCACGTCAATATTCTAGAAAGTTTCATTATACTCTGATTGCATGGAAACTCTTCGGCTCATTTAGAGTCTCTGTAGGCTTCGTCTTAGTTCTCGGAAGCCGTTCCAAGAAGAGTAATATAAATGGGCATAAAATTTTAACATTATTGAAGCCAAGATTGCTGTTCGATATAACATTGAAAATTACGATAAGAGGAAGAAGATAGAGGAGATAATGAAAAATTTTGAAATGGAATAAATTCATTTCATTATTTAAATACGGCAAGACTCTAATTTATGGACGACCTTTGAACGAATCCTAAGTGACCTCGAGAAATATTAGCCAATCAGCAAACAGTCAGTATAGAGTAAAAATACGTCATACAAAACCAACGAAAGAAAGTGGATACACTTCTTATACGTGGTTCATAAACTTGTCAAGGCTAGAAAGAGGTTCAGAGGTTTTAAAATCGTAATGCATGCAGTAAAGGAAATCATCCATATGGCTACAGAATAGTCGGCCTCTGGAGTCATGATAAAGTCTCAAATACTTCTTCAGCCTCGACCACATAGCTTCAATACTATTTATGTGCACTCGGGTTGTTGAGTGCACAAAATGCTACTTATGGACAGCGACACAATGCACATAACCAAGCCTATGTAAGAGTCTGTACGCTCTCCAAACATCCGTATATATTGTAGTACCTGGTTGCAGCCAGTGTTACTGGTGCTTTTATTATCCAGTTCGTAATAATTGTCGTAATTTGCTTTAGTTAGGAATTATATATGGGGTTTTCATCACGAACTGACATCACCTATAATGCCAGAAATTTATTTAGCCGAATGGATGAATAACTTTCGTGTTAAAATCCGAGATCTATTATCTTATACCTGATTGATTCGTCCACAAATTATAGTCTCGCCATTTTATTTGTTATAGCCGCTCAATTATCACGTTTTGTAAAAATTCCCTGTGAACCAATTGTACGTTAGCATTAAGCACTGGAGTTGGCGCCGTAACCCTGAAATCTCTATAACGCTTCTGATTGGCTCGTCCATAAATTAGAGTCTCGCCGTAGATACTATTATTCTTAATTTGGTCAATCATAAAATTATTCAAAGATATACAAACGGAGAGATATGAAACTTGTATAGCAATTCTTATGTTAATTAGTTAGTATATAGTCGTAACTATAAGTTCTTCTTGACTTGCTTAATATTACCATTTATAAATTACTATAATATCCACAAAACCCATCTGAAATTATCTTAGTTATGTAGCCAATGAGATTTATAAAAATGTATTATTACTAGTGGCTTTATTCAATATTACATTTTTGGCACAATATAGAATTCTCAGCACAAAGTATTTCAACAAGCTTCCTTCTCTTACTTCTTGATCGATCCTTATGATAAATATTGAGTGGTTGCCAGTTAAATGTTAGCAGTTTAGGAATCTACATCTTATTAATGTGTATTCTTTTCTACATATATTGCCAGCAACCACATTGTCTCTGATTGTGCTGTTTCCTAACTTGTACAGCGAAAGGTTGTAAACGTTTCACAAACGTACCTGAATAGCTTGTGTAATTAATTGATATAATGATATGTTAAGACAAACAGAACAACAAATAACTTTTTGAAAGGTCTAAATAGCAGGAACAGGTAGCCCAGGTATTCAAACAGATCGCCTATAAGGTGTTGTGTCCTAATGTTTAAATAGTAAGAGCAGTTAGAATTATTTCTCTGATATTTTAATGTTCTGATCAAGTGTTCGAGATTATGAAGATTTATATGATCCATTAATGATATGATTTTATACACTGACTAACTGAACAATTAGCAAGGGCCGCATACTTACAATTGAAGAACATATGGAAATGAAAATAACCGTCAACCAATATCGAAGTCAGAATCTTTAATACGAACGTCAAAACAGTTCTATTGTACGAAGCTGAAACTTCGAGAACATTCTTACCTATCTTCATCTTGTTGGTTAAGTAATTTTTTATAGTTGTCCATGCTAAATAAATCTACATTCCTTGGACGGATTTACATTCAGTATCAGCGTTCTGTGGGAGAAGAACAACCAGACTTCCAGTTGAAGTGGGATCTTTAGTAAGAAAACCTGGAGTTGGTGGACAGAACATACATTCACGGATATCATCAATCTGTCATCACGCATGCAAAGCCCTATAACTTGAATCGTGAAGGGAAGCGGATAAAGCGGAAGGCACAAATAAACACTATTTTCATCGGGAAATAGTAGCAGTATGTATAAAGGTTGTTTTATCAACGGGAAAGTGCGGGTATGGATTTGCTCAGGACAGTGTGTGATGGAGAGGTGGTGGGGGCCTTTGCTCCCTCCTACAATGAATGTTCAGGCATAAGTTATAGTGTAGTAGGGTAATGAACAATTATATCGTTCTTGCTTTGATGTTAATCTTTTCCATACAATTGATGGATATTTTTAGTAATTATCATGGTGGATGGGTTTTTGCACATGTGGAATTGTATCTTGATCTTGAATTTTGTTGGGTATTCGCTCGTAGTTTGTTTTTTATGGATTTCTGTGTCCTGTGGTCACTGGAATTATGAACTGTTTTTTATGGGTTTTTATTTGTGTATGTGCTAGTTTGTTATGGTTGGTTCGCGCTTATTGGTATTCAGTATGCTATGTTTTTGATCATCTAGGGCGCTGGGTGGTTTTGAAGGGTTCTTAGTCTCAGGATTCGGATTTTTGTTGGTGCATTATGCTGTTGGATTGTGTCGGGGATTTGGGAGTTGGCTGTTATTGGTATTAAATGCATTAAATAAATAAACCAAGGTTTGTGAATTAATGTTTTGTTTCTACTTATTTTTAGCAGCTGTAAAATCCCTTGAGTTTACTATAGACCATAGATTCATCTCGTGGTTGAAAGTTGTAAGTACCTAGACTAGCCTCGTCCTTCGGGTTGTTCTGTTCACACTGCTACGCGCGATGCCAAGTATTATTGGGGGATGTTTTAGGAATATGTGCATTCGAGCTCGTGAGCACCTCCCCGTGTGGTTAAGTAAAGATGCTGTCAAAACTGTTAACAGTTCATCTCTTAGTCCACACGCTAGCGCCGCTAATCGGGGACATAACAGCACAACATGGAGCATTTCTTTTGGCATTAATCTATCGTGTCTAACAGCCATGTCTACCTTATTTCCGTCAGCTGTGAATCCTACAGACGGCTGAAGCAATTGCTATTCGGATGAAAAAAGCCAGAGCTTTGCATCCAAAAGAAGTATGTTCAGCCACGTCTTTTACCCTGTTCCAACTTTGGGGCCAAACTCGTTTAATTAATTAATTTTATAATATGTTTACCGTAAATTGATTAAGGTTCACTTTTATGTCCCAAATACTTATTATTATTATTTTTTTATATTTGGCCACGCTCCTCCCCCTATTTTGAGAACTTTATAATATCCCCCCCCCCCCCCCCCCCCCCCCCCCCCCACCCACTCACCCCCCCCATAGTTGGTGGAGAAATATACCTCACCTATCTGACCTATTCTTACTTATCCTACATCCATTCCACGCTAATTTTCCAATTTCTATTCCATTATTCCTCTCACATACCAACATTTGACAATATTGATTCTGATCATTATTTATCGCAACATTTTATTTCATCTTACAACTGAGTCAAGTGAATACTGTTATTTTATATACAAACCAAAACATTATTCATAGCTGCAATTGATTTTATATTGACAAACAAAATTCTCAATTCACATATTTACTATTTCTTAATGATGATGTTACTCTGCTTACTAATTTGGCCT